AATGGAGAGTTTTTAGATCTTTTGGACTAATGCCAGCTGTGACAAATAACCTCTGATGTTAATACTATAATGCCGTTTGTGGCTCAAATGCCTGTGAGTGTACGTTTTTCAGTCAAGACACAAATCATAACTTTAAAAAGACAGGCAAAATAAACTGAGGACTGCTCCTAGAAAATGGTCCTTTGGGACATGTTTAGTTTGGCTATGAGTTCATCTGACCTTGCAGTTAGCTTTTTACATCAAATAGCAATCATGCAAATAAGCAAAGAAATAAAAACGTGATTGTGATACAAGTGTGCTCAGCTCCTGGAGCTCCACAATCCAGCTAATACATCTCCTGCTACATCTAAGGACCTGAAAAAACGGTGAAAGATATTAAACTGGCCTAGTTAAGATAACAATTTCATCAATTTTGCAGTCAAGAACAACCTGTGGAGTTGTTCCCTTCAGTATTAAATGGGAATATTAAAAAAAAATTTGGGTGCAGATGTTATTAACATCAATGTAATTATCAGTGTTTCCTCACTGTGTGAATTCCAGTGCTTAAACAGCACTATGGCATCAAAGATGGGGTTGCTTGAGAGTATCCTACAAATTTGAACTGCTGAGCATTTCAATCAGGAAAGAAAGACATTCATTCCAGACATTGCCAGCCTGAGATTGCTTAAGCTGTGGTGCACAGGACTCAGTGTAACAGGACTCAGTGAGTTACAGAAGTGACGTGACCCTCCTCCAAAACGTAAACAGCGTAAAACTCTGACGCAGTCTTCTGGCATGGAGGAGTAATCCACTGTCTAAGGAGTGGCACCTGCTTGGCATTGAATGCCAGCAGGGCAGGGAGAGCTGCTCTCTTTCTCAGGTGGAGTTCTTCTGGTTGCCGACTTTGCTGCAGAGGAGAGCTGTGAAGAGTGTAAAGAGTGCTCAGCGCACCAAGTGAAGTCCCGGAAAGGACGTCACCCCTCTCTGAAGTCTAGACGGTGTAGAACGGTGGAAAACCAAGACTTTTGCCGAAACGAAATTGTCCACTGTCTGGGCAGCTGCACTGTGAGTGCTCAGATCCCAAAAGTAACCAGCATCAAATCGCAGCAGGAGCAGGGAAAGCTGTACTCGTCACATGTAATTGGCAAAGAAGGCCAGGATCCGCACAGCAGCGATACCTGGTATGTGCCAGGTGATATAGCAGTCTTGCAGTGATGTCAGGGAGTGATGTGACACTCCTCCACATGGCACTGATTCTCCTGTCAGGCACCGCGCAGCTCTCAGCATGTCTGAAGATGAATGGCTCTGATAGGCAGGTGTGTGGGGGGAGCAGGACAGAAGACCTGTCTGCAGTCTCATTCTCCCCATCCAGGTACAGGAATCACTGCTGGAGAACCAAGCCCCAAGAACTACTGGCAAATCCAAAGTGAGTGGATATACTGTATAAGAAAAATAAATAATGAAAACAGGGGGATGGCTGGCCACCACAAAATTTCTTTTCAATTTGATCAAAATCAAGGTTTATTGTTACTCACGTACTGTACATGCACTTGACTTGTGAGAAGCGCAGGTGACCACATTGTCTTTCTTTTCTTCAGCGACAATCCAGATTCGAAAAATTGTTCGCTGCAGTCTGTGGCTACAGGAAACTAGTGTTCTTGCAGGGTTCTGGCAGGTGACAGATTGGATGAGTGTCAAGCATCCCCAGCAAACTCTAACCCCCCAAACTGAGGGACTCCTAGTAACACAGGGCCGTAGGGCACAGCCTGGTGTTGAACCTGCAATTTTCATAAGATTTTAGACCCCTTGGTATCCTAGACTTAAGCTCCTTACCCCTTTTCCCTCTTTTTGATGCTAACATTGTATGTTAGGTTCCACAGTAACTTTATAAGTGGAAGTGGCGGATAAGTGTTAAAGCTGAAGTCCAGTTCTGAAAACTGATTAAAGTTTTTTTTTTTTCTGTGGTGTTTTTCAGAAAATTATGTTATATCACGAAGTGTCATCTCTGGGACACTAGATGCGTGCAATTTCAGAGAGAGTGTGAAATTCATGTCGAAGTAGCAACTTCAGGATTGTGTTCTGGCCAAACAATTTGGAGTTGGTAACATTTCTGTTATTTTGTTGTACTGCTAAAAAGTGTGTGTGTTTCTTAACGATATATTTTAACTGTATTTTTTATGTTTTAAAACTTCAGAATTATGTGAAAACAATTTTTCAATCAAAAATATGGTGTCTTTGACAGAAAAACTCCCTGTAGCCCGTTACACAGAGAAACGCTTGTTCTAAACCTGCATAACTGACAACTTGAGCTATTACAAACTCTCTCTCTGAAACTACTTGCAAGTTTTGTGGAGGATGCCCCCACTCTTTTCCCAAAGGTAAAACAGAAGCATACATGTTCTCTCCTGCATTAATTAGGCTCTGTGGGCTATATTATTAATGTTTAGTAAATCCTGTCTTGATGAAAACTTTGTAATGTCTTGACATGACATGAGCTATAAAAGACCATTTACTGTTGCATTGCACATCCTGTTACAAAAGATGAATTACTGTAGAGTCCAGAAGCTATTTTTCTTTTAATTTAAGGAAGAATAAAGATTGAAAAAAAAAACGACAGTTAACAGATCCGTTACTTCGGATTCCTCACATAATTCAAACTATCATTCCCCCTTTGTGCTGAAAGACAGCAGTCAGCATCTGGGATTCCACCTGTTAAATGTTTCCGTCTTGTTGAAGTCAACCGTCATTTAAAAAAAAAAACAGGCCCGTTGTACAGTAATACACAACGTAGCACGGTCTTTCATCTTGGCCCATTGGGAACCTACAGTACAAAGGATTCAGGGACAAATTCGATTGGAACTAATATTATTTTAGCTGTTGCTGAAGCTTTTGCCATTTTCTCCTTTTTTTGAGAGCGCTGGAAGGGTATCGCCGCTGCCTCGCAGCCCCTAAAGCCCTGGGCTCGACCCCGGACCTGTATAAGTAAAGCTCGCAGGCTCTCCCCACACAAGTTCAAGCCTGCGAGAGACTGGTGTTTCTTGAAGGGTGCGGTTTTTCACGGCACCCTGTTATTGCCGGGTTAGAGTCTGGCTCACCGCGACCCACCAGAGATGAAGCGACAGAACGAGGCTGGAAGCCTTGAATCTTGTTTAAACTACAGCGCTGAATTTGTTGCTTACATTATATGAATATTAACTCAATAGCTCACTGACCACACTGTGCACTGTACAGGATCCTGAACTTTGTGGGCATCAGTTTTGAGGTCGAGGTCCCAGTGTCTTGTTTTATTTTTTGTTTGAGAACTGGATAATTTCTCAAAATGTAGTAATTTTACGCATCGGCCCGGTGCGTTCTGTCGGGAAGCGCCGTATAAAATTAAATTTGACTTGTTTTGATTGAGCAGCAAAGCTTAAAAAAATGTGTAGACGTCAGTGCCCTGAAGTCATATACAGACAGTACACTGCCGTCCCAACCCAGGGTTGCTCAGTCGCTGGTGCGAGCAATCCTTAACAGCTGCCAATGATAAATTTCAGCCCAGGGCTGAAATCTTTATTCGTACAGTATGTTAAGTATCTGGTTAGACAACTTCAGCGAACTCGGTAACAACCTTTCGTTGCTGGTTACTATGCTAGTTAATTGCCATTTTCAGCTTACAGTATACAAACATTTTCTTTGAAGACGAGCTAGAATGACGTTAATTGACATTGCGGGGTTTATTTATCAAATGGTGCACTAAATATTTAAGGACCAAAAATGTTGAACAAGCAAAGCAGTTGGCTACAAAATGTAGAACGACAGTCGTCTGATACCGCACGTCTGACAAATGTTATTGCTGAAGAACCGAAATTAGTGCCTTAAGTTGATGGAGAAAATATATTTATAACATTGGGTTGGAGTTTTATAATTTGAATTTAATGCAATTCACTGACATTATGACAAATCTACCTCGGGTACCTCTTTAATCTGCATGTAGTGAAGTACTGTACAGGGCAATTACATCTGTGCTGTTGCATCTTTGTGGAGTTTTGCTTAATTGGTGTCTTTCGGCCGGTTAGAATGTTCTAATTATTTAAAAGACAATAAGGTTGATAAGCAATAATAATACTAGCGTGGGAGCGAATCTGGTCTTTTCCTTTGAGGAATTATCCAGATTTACTGGATCGTATTTAAGTAACACTCTTTAAATTATGGATTTCTTTAAATACGTCATTTTAGGCCTACTTGTAAAAATATATATTTATTTACTCACCGATATCGTTTAAACAACAGTTTTAATATTGTATTAATCTAATTTTCAGAACAATGGAATTGCTGTAGTTTCCTAAAAAGCAACAAGTATAATACTGCAATACTTATTATTCGATTCCATAAGGTGACGTTTTTTAAGTCATAAACTACAGTACATGCGAACAGAGTACGTCTGTGTTTAAATAGATCTCACTAATTTAATCATTTATCATTTTTCAATGGGACTACTTTAGGCTAATAGATTGTTTTGTCTTGTTTCAACAACAACCATTTACCCATACGCTTTCTAACCCCTTAAACGTCATAACAGGTCACGAAAAAAATAAAGAGAAAAACATTATTTAAAACGTTGTGTTTCTAATGGGGTACCGTCGAAGATTACCCCCCACCCCCATCTGATTAATTACTTAATTAAGTAGAGAATTACAATCCCAAAACAGTCAATAACCTGAAATGTTTGAATTAGAAATTTGAGATAGCTCTTCCCTGTTAATTCAGAACTGATAGACAGTATCCGATGCATGTACTGTATGAAGGGATAAGATGAGGTTGTTTAAACAGAAAAAAAAAATGTTAATTACACAAAACGTCAAGCCAGAACGCAAAGACCAATGTTGTGGGAAGTACGAGCGCAGTTTTCATTTTATAACAGGTTGGATGAGGTGATCTTCCCCTCTTGACTCAAGTTAAGTCGCAAACGAGGAGGAGCCGCAAAACCCTTCGGGGCATCAGTTGGAACCTGCTCCACAAATATAAATAGAGCTTCCCCAAACCCGAGGAAGGAGTAAATCACAGTCTACGAGGGCTGAGTTCAGCACACTTCTGAAAGTCTGGGGAAGGAGCAATTTTTTACTTTTACCGCAGACCAAATGAATGGCTCATTGAAACACTGAAAACAAGTAAGAGGGGAGAGTCAGACAAAATCAGTATTTAAACGAAAGGGGATTCTTTTAAATTTGTTATAAAGTTTGGACATATTGTGGTTTTTTCCCCCCCAAGGTAAAAATAACGCAAATAACAAGTAAATAGCCGTTTTTGAGGGGGACAAATAAACTAGGAATACAAAAATAATACGATTTAGAATAATATCAACGATTAATTACTAAAGATTCCGGAAAAGGGAAAGTGAAAATCTCAGCTGACGTTCACAGCCAGGACTCGCAGATGGCTGCTTTGATTAGTGCCTATTCCTCGTGGCCGGAGAGTTTCGAGCGCTCCGCGGGAGAAGGGGAGCTGCCCGAAGGACACACTGCGCACAGATCCTCGGGGGACAAAGGGTCGGAGCCCCGCATCAGAAGACCCATGAACGCCTTCATGGTGTGGGCTAAAGACGAGAGGAAGAGACTCGCTGTCCAGAACCCCGACCTTCACAATGCAGAACTCAGCAAGATGTTAGGTGAGATTTATCGGATGAGCAAGGCGTCTTGCATTCACATATACAGTATATTGTGCTTTTCAATAATTGGGAAAACAGTACAGAAAAGCCTTAAAGGAAAAATTAACTGAGTGTCCTTTTACATGCATTCATGTATGGGTTAGAGCTGTTTCTTATAATGAATAATTTAATGTTGTTTTACTTAACATCTAAGCTTTTCTTTGCTTGAAATCAATTTTTATTGCACCTTCCTCAATTCTAATTGAATTTGACACAGTTTTATTTTAAGGAGAAATGGTTAAGTCTGACACTAAAATAAATTACATGCGGAACCTGGTAGAGTCTTAGAGAAAACTTTTCTTAATAGGTCACACAGCGAAAGGAACCTGCACTGACAGTAGGATACTGTACATCTAGTTAAAGTACCTTCACTTCGAAGATTACTTGACACCTGAGAGTGAAAAGTACCTTAACCGAAGTCGGCAAAACCTGCTTGACCGCAAGCTCAAGCTCAAGCTGTAAAATAAATGAAAATAAAACCTTGACATACTTAACGTTTTTTCACAAAATTTCAGAAAAAAAGTTGTAGGTTAAGGACAAACTCAACGCTTTTCACAAAGCTTCGTTTAAGGTGTCTTAAATGTAATTCAGAATCTGTTCTAAATGTGTTTGATGTAGTAATACTGTATGCTTGTGAATATATAAAAGGTGTAATTAAAGAAATGTTTTTATATAGCTGCCTTTGATTATATTTCTATATGAATGCTGTAATGTTAAAGCTAAATATTACATTCATGAGAGTTTCGTTTGGGCTTCAAGGCGCTTTTGTAACACCGTAAAAAACCTATAAAGGGGTTTTCTCCAGCGATTGAATTTAACGATTATTTCAAATCAACTTTACGGCCGTTAATGATTTTTTGTTTTAAAAAGTTTATTCTGAAGTTATTTTAACTGTACCTTATTGGTTATTTCTATATACTTCCACATTCAAATGAATAATTTTTCGTTGGGTTTGTCTAGGTTAGAAACAAAACCGGAGTTCTTAATATGTTTTTGAAGCATGTGACGAGTTGCGGTAGCGCATAGTGCTCATTTTCAGCACCAAGGTTCTGTTTAACAAAGATAGTGACCGATAACCTTCAATGGATGCGCTATGAATCGACCGACTCAAATTCAGTAACTGTGAAGTCCGGCTAACTGATGTTAGCTATAGCTATAGAGCTATATTCAGAAAATAGCTAATAATGGTGAATAACGGTACAAAACTTTTAAAATTACGTATTTGTTAATTTGTATGTTCCCATAAGAGTTCATAGTCTTCACACAGTAGTCAAGGTAACCCTTTTAACTTTATTTTCGCAACTAAGTTTTATTCTATGAGCTTTAAAATATCCCAAAATTCCAATTAGCCTTTTTATACTAGAAATATACAGACTTTAAAACGGTTTAAGGCTCCATGGCAGTAACAATTCTTTTAAGAATGAATCTTTAAAAGACACACATTAACAACAATAAACAACAGGGAAATCAAGACTTTATATAATAAAATTTAGATTGACTCACTTCAACGTCTTCTTGTCAGTTTATAGCATCTTTATCATTTGAAATAACTAAAAATAATACCGACAAATAATGTCACAATTGTATGATATTTTCAAAACCACCTTGCAAGCACACAAGAATGCTGAATGATACTAATTTACCTGCAATATTTGATGCATGTATCCAAAGACCTGTATTGGTCTATGATCTTTAGAATACCATGTGATATGAAGATTATTTTGATTTAAAAAGTGTCAGAATAAAGCTGTACTTTGAAACTGGTAAAGATACTAATATGGACATAATGTAAAAGAAGAGTTTCATTGCTAAATTGAAAAATCTAAAATCGCTTTCATGCCAACCAAATATTTGGGGCTGTATACCCCAAATTTTTCCTCTTCAGTCCTCATTTGTGGATGCTAGATTTTTAACTTAAATCATGCAAATCATCATTTTAAAAAAGTGAAACACTGAAGCACTCTGTGACTGTGTTCAAACTGCAAGGTCAGTTATTGGCCACTGGATTTCCATACAGTAACTGATATTCTCTACTACAAAAAACCCTATAACTGCATATAAAAAAATATACTGTTGGTGGTTTATATGTTAATTGTGTTGGGTGATGCACCTCAACTTCAATGTGTACCCTAAACTACACTCAGACATTTGAGACTCTTCTAAAATCCCGGAATATGTTGGGTAAGAAGCATGGATAACTAACTGGCAAAATAAATCACAAGATTAAACGCAGCATGCCGATTAAAGAGAAGAAAGAGCTCAAGTTCTGTTTTTCTCATTGACCTTATTTTGTGGTCAGACTCTTCCTGTTGCTTTATTTCCCCATCCTTTGGGTGAAGTGGAGTCTGATGCACTACCTTCCTTCCACCTTAATTCTGACACATGCAGAAAACAAGTCAGTCTATCAGTGAACCATACCTTGGCAAACTAGAGCGAGTGGGCGAACGATCTTTAAATTATGAGCAACCAGGAATTAACTTTATGTACTGCTTCTGTTATGTAGTTTTTTTAAACAAAATCTAAGTTAACATTACTTTTCTTCTAAAGCAATCTGTGAAGTCTTAAACAGGATTTCCTTGCCCTTCTGTCCTAGCTGCACATCACCATTTCAGTGTTTTATCACTATTCCAGTTCAGGAAGAGGAACCTCTGATCAAATCCTATTCCAGACAACCTCTTATTGCATGGTCAGTCAGTTCCGAGGCCAATCTGACAGAATTCCAGAGATTTAAAAAACTGGCTGTTGGTTGTATGACAGGAAACAGTGACTATATGCTGTAGAGATATAGCATCAGTAAAAGATGTGTCATAGGGGGCTTCTAAAGCATGACATTTAATACAGTACTTGTTACTCCCGATTTCAATTAAGATGAATCCATCTTATTTAGTGTACCAACATTAATCTAGTATGTCTTATTTTGTTTAAAATCTAACAAAATTGAATTTTAAAGCATTCATTTAGTTCAGGATTTCAGAATACAAATTAAAACACGGTTGCTCAACTTTAAGGACTTGGAATGGTTTGATTCCTCAGTCCATCAAAGAACTGCTCCTTATCTGTCTATACACCTGCACTTTGGTTGGATTCCTTGGACTTTCTTCCACTTCCGAGATTGAACTCCAAGACCTTGGAGACTGTGCAGTCTGCACTGTTACTCCGCCAGTGGAATGATCTCCAAGCACATATTAGATTTACAAGTCAGTCACTACCTTCAAATCCCGTCTTATGTCTGTATTCAATTTGTTTGTCCTTGTCTGAACTGTTTTATTCGTCGTCTTGTTTGCTTGGAAAGCCCGTGACGATGTGTCATGAAAGGTAATATATAAAGTAGATATTATTACAAAAATGGACCCAATGATCAAAACCGTGGAAAAGACATTAATTGGCCTCCAGCACATATATGTTACAGACTTTATATAATTAGATGCACCATTGCAAATATCCCTTATATTCCAGTTTAAGTGTTTGCAAGACTGTACATGAGTCTTTTCCTTCATCTTTATTAGTGCAATAGGCATATGAAAAGTATACTTCAGACATGAGCTGTGCATATATTAACAAATCTGAAAACTACTCAATGCAGGGCATCTTGAACAATTAAGAAGTTAAAGGCATCAATAAACGTTACATTAATCGACTTACATTTGCTTTGTCAAGTCAACCTCCACTTACTTTTTGAACATATTATGTTTTGAGAGACATATTTTATAATACAATAAACAGTTTATACAGGAACTAATGGGAAACACGTTTTTTTTTCCTGCACTTTACTAACTTACAAATTAAGCCTGCAAAAGGCAGAAATTAGTGGGAGAAATCCATTAAAGGGGATAAAAAGAAATCTTTAAAAATAAGTTACTCAGTCAGATATATACTATTGCATAATATAAAACCATTTAAAAAGTCCTTTCATAAACATGGTATTATCCATTCAGCCAGACAATACATAGAATGGTCATTTTAAGAGGATAATTACCTATGTAGTTTAACCAGAAATGTAGGATACTTTCTGTAGATTTATGTATAATAATGCCACGAACACTTGCATTTTTAGGTTTTCTTACTTTAGTATTTCAATGATAGAGAGATATATACAGTATTTTTTAAAATCAAATCAACAGCTGCCACTGTTTAGACAAGCTCACAATTCTGATTCTTGCTGCCCTTTTCTTGATGATGATGCTGAAGTTCAAATGTGTGTTCAGATCTCAGAACAGTCCTCATAAAAAAGAGCAGTGGTGGTGTTAGCCCATACTTACTTTCTTTTGGGACTTTACTGGTCTTTTTTTACTTTATTCCCTTGATTCTACAGTATATTGTAACTCTTTAATATCACTTAGAGACGTTACATAATAAGCTGTGGGAACCATGGTCATGAAGAACAGTGCAGGAAAATGGAGGAGTTTGTTTTAAATGAAGGATATCCCTTTAAATTTTCCTTTGTGGGTAAATGTATGAAAAGACTTTAGAATTATTTTCTTTGGAAGAATAGCCCATTATCTTGGTTTCTGCAATAAAAGTCATTTCAGTTTCATTTTTGATATGATGTCATCACTTGCGTAGTTTTCTAACAGGAAAAGCACAGTAGGAAGTCATTTATGCTGTGACTTGTGCATTTAATTATGGCACTTTTAAAATTGTGTTCTAAGATGAGCGTGCAAGATGCAGAAACATTGTGGTGCTTGATAAAGTACAGGTCCAGTAATATGTAGGTCAAAGATTGTAGCAGAAAATCATGCATGATATTTTGCAATATGGAGATGGGCATTACGACATTCAAATATTAAGAGTTTACACTGATACTGGTGCTGCTGTAACAGTGAGTCCAGCGCCAGTCTCAAAGATAAAATTATGCATGGAGTTTATATCACCAAAACCAAGATGATTCTTAAAGCTGGCATTAATAGTCCTCACCATTGCACTATAGCTACAAGACAATGATCCCCTACAAGCAGGACACAGCCTCCTTTGCTAACAGCCAAGTTGATGTCAGGTTGCCTGCATTTGATACTGACCCCTGATGATGTAATTGGGTTCCTGAGGTTTTACATGTAATTGAGTGGATCTCAGTTGATCAATTGTTCCTATTAGCAATCAATTGCTATCAATTAGCAACTTTAGTAGATTGCTAGGTAGAATTGACTGCTGGGATCAAGCGATATTTGATGGGTGGACACTGAGTCCCCTTTGAACCTCATGTCGTGACGTTTCTGTCAACGACATTCTCAGTTAGAGCTTCTCTTTTTCACTGACATCATGACATTATTGCAGTATGACTAACACTGAAGATCTTGCGTGCTTTTCATGTATGAAGACATCACATTTGCATGAACAACTTCGCATTTCTTACTGCGAACATGCCTTTTTTGGCATTTCATATACAGGAGTTAATGAGGACTGGAAAGTGGACTTGTTCCACTGGCAAGCTGCAAGCCCTCAATGAGTCACATTTAAACAGAATAATTGTTAATGTTGCATAATAAATTCATTATGCGTATATGAAGTGTATGCTATAGTTTTAAAAGCTTAACACCAACACCAGTAATTGTGGGAAAAGAAGGACCTACAGTATTTTCTTTTTGTTCTTTTTTTTGTATTTGTAATTTCTAAATATCTGGAATAATTCAGTGAATAAGAATTTTGTTGGTGACAAATTATGTTCTAATTTGAACAATGATTTTTATTAGTTTTTTGTGTTGTTTTGTAAACATTATAATTTTCTTTACTCTTTTGAAAGTGAACTCTGAACTACAGTAATATTTGAGGAAAAGAGGAAAACACTATTCGTTGTATGTACAGCATATAATATCAATAAATAATATGGACTGTGTTTTCAGTATAGTAATATTGAAGTCAAGAATTAAATACACATGTATGTTATTTTAATTAGTTTTCACTGAATTCCACAAATAATTAATTGCTGGAGGTGCAAGTGTTGTTACTCAGAGAACACTTTGTCCCAATTTAGCTGTCAGGATGCGCTTTCAATGTATGATGTGTTTGGAGGTATTGAATCTCCTCTAGGATTTCCTGCCTGTGCTTTCCATGGTTTATAAAATGAGTTTGAGTTTGAGGAAAACTGATCAGATGATTTTTTTTTATTTCAGTTCTTCTTTTTAGTCTCACTTTTCTGTTTTGTATCTGACCTTTCATAATATCCAATAAGTACTCTGGCAAATTAAATTGCAGGTAGTTGACATATAGTCTTAAAAGGTTTAGGTGGAAAAAGTTCCCCTTGATAGTGAACAGATTGTTTTGTACATTTTTATTTATTACTTTGAAAGGAACTCAGCATGCACCTTGCAAATACTACACCCATGTCTTGTACACTCTCCTGATTAATGTGAGTATGTTGGAAGCGTTTTGATTTTTGAAGCACCAAATGTTATTAGTCACGGAAGACTTTCTGATCCTCAAGTCCACGGGCTGAGGAATGCTAGGTTACTGCTGTGAGTGCTGTGGTTGGGGCAGTGGCACTCTTCAATCTGACCTGGACGTTCCAGGCCAGTGCTCTGGTACAGTGACTGAGAACACTGTGCTCTAGGAGTTGCCATCCCTCAATTAAAACATTAATCCAAGGAGGTCCTGCTACTTGGATTAAGGATCCCATGATCCTTATGTATGAATTTACATTACAATTACATCATCAGGGGTCAGTATCAAATGCAGCAGTGTTATGAAACGTGCCATATAAAAACGATGATTATTATTTTAAATCTTCCCACATTTTATGGCTCAAGATCTTAATCCTGGTTTAAAATTTAAAAAAACAACAACAACATCTCAGGACTCTAGTTGTATTTGGGTGTTCTGTCATGAAATCCATGTGTTTGCTTCTTTTTTTCTTATCGGAGCTTTATTTAGGTTTGATGAGAATGTTTTATCCAGTTACTAAAACAAAAGCCTTTATCATTATGAATATGTGATACCTTGTGATTTTTATGCTGATTTCTACCTACACATACTGTCGTGTAACATTCATACGAAACAGGCTTAAGTCAGCGTGGCTTTTTTTATTGATAATTTAGGATAAAGTTACTTTTCAGAAATGAAATCCTGAATTCTGTTTTTGCAATCTCTTCTTACATTAAAAATCTTATTCCGATGTAGGAACAGAGTTTGAAACTGATAAAAAAGGGTTGGTTGTTCCTTGTGCTAAAAGCGCATCTAATCTAAGAAATAGACTAAATTTGTCTTACGATATGTAAGAAATTAAAAACATCAGGAGAATAGTTTAGGTTGTAATTTTGGAATGCAGACGACTCCAATCCATGATTACAGTTAGTGCAAGAACTTGCTTCCTACAGCGTTTCCCGTCTCATAATAAAGCACGTAAAAGGGAAACATAAATCAAGGTAGGAAGGTTAATTCGAAGTGAGTCAACCGAAAATTCCACGATATTTGGAGAGTTTTCGAGCCTTTCATCTTATTGTATTGTTTTCGAGAAAGCGGCAGTTTAGCGGAGCCAGTCCGGTACGTCAAAGCAGCGCAGTAATGTTGTTACTGTACTGTACATACGCCTGCAGCTCTCCTTTGTGAAATTAGTTCAGTTCATTGTCAGGAAATGATTTGCTTCATGTACCATGTGTGAGGTGACTCACTGAAAAAAGTTTGGAGCTGGAAACCTTGCCAGCCTGATTTGTTAATCCGGATCTAGAACACAGTGTATCCTATTCGTGGGTTGCGGGTACTGTAGTAAAACAGTGCCCGTGATGCCACTGCCAGCTGGCATGGATATTTGAGAAAGTTTGTGTGAATAACAGCTACAGCTACGTTAACATTTCACGACAAAACATTTACAAACAGCGAGTATGTATGTATGTATATATACACACGTACAGATGCACAAAGCGTTTTTACAGGTATTTAACAAGACACATTTTATACAATCTGTTGGGAATCATAAAGCAAAAAAGCAGATACTGTACATTAAAACTGGAAATAATAACCCAAACAAGTGTGATTCTAATGTAATTAATTTTGTTTTGTTTGTTGCTTTTTTATTTTTACTTGTCCTGTGATGTCTAAGAATATAAACTTGTTTCCTTCCCTTTATGGTATCTCTTTTGTAAAATATGTTAGCATTCAATCTGTTGAAAGTTTCACCATCTTATTTTTTCTCCGTATGAGTACTGTACAGTACGTCACCAATCTAAAATTAACGTATCTGTAGTTACAAATGTTGTGTATGATACATGTTTTTATTAAAAAAAAAGAAAATACACAATATTTTAGACCAGCTTCCAAATACAGTTTTTATTCATGCCTCGATACCATTATTTTCTGTTTAAAACACGAGTATTGCTTTAAGAACCTCAGATTTGTATTGACTCTCACCGCTTTGGTTTTTTTAATATGGCGACTGTCTGACACGTGTTGTTTTCACGAGAGGGAAAACACAAAGTGTCTGTAACGCAGTTCCTGAGGCAGCGGAGAAACCGCGACGCACTGAACTAAATCCTCTTTCCTCTCGGTTTTTAAGGCAAGTCCTGGAAAGCCCTGACCCCGCCGCAGAAAAGGCCGTACGTGGAGGAGGCGGAGCGGCTGAGGGTCCAGCACATGCAGGATTACCCGAACTACAAGTACCGCCCGCGGAGGAAGAAGCAGCTCAAGCGCATCTGCAAGCGCGTCGACCCCGGCTTCCTGCTCAACGGCCTGTCCCCGGACCAGAACGTCCTCCCAGACAACCGCAACTGCCGGCCGGGGCTGGACAAGGAGGAGGACAGCGGTTTCTCCTCCAGCCCCGGTCTGCCCACGATCAGGAGCTTCAGGGAGCCCCCGAGCTCCAGCGGCGGCTTCGACACCTACCCTTACGGGCTGCCCACGCCCCCAGAGATGTCTCCGCTGGACGCCATCGACCACGATCACGCCTCCTTCTACTCCTCCTCTTGCCCCGACGACCCCCGCCCCCCTCATATGAATGGCCCCACCTACCACTCTGACTTCTCCCAGGGTGCCATCCACTGTGGGGGGCCCCTCAGCCAAATGCCCCTGCCCCAGACAGGGGCTGCCATGATCCCTCCCCCTTCCAGCTGTCCTCCCCAGCTCTCCTACTACAGCCCTCCTTACCCCACCATGCATCACAATCTGCACGGCCACCTCGGGCAGCTGTCCCCACCTCCTGAGCACAGCAACCTGGAGACCTTGGATCAGCTGAGCCAGGCAGAACTCTTGGGAGAGGTGGACAGGAATGAGTTTGACCAATACTTAAACTCCACTGGTCACCCTGACCAAAATGGCATGACCATCACTGGGCACATTCAGGTCACACCAACTTCTGTTTCCTGTCCCACCAGTTCTTCAGAAACCAGCCTGATCTCGGTGCTTGCCGATGCAACAGCAGCCTATTACAACAACTACAGTATCTCCTAAATGACCCTGCCCCTTGACTAAAAGAGACAGAAGCAATTCAGGGGCCCTTAAGCACAGTATTATGGCCAGAGACAAAGACAGACAGAGCGAGAAAGGACTGGGCTCATAGACATCTCAGGGTTGCACAAACACTACACAATAAAGCATATTGTTTTGCTATTTCCATTTTGGGCTCTATTGGACTAATCAAGACTTGTTGGAAGTGTTTGAGTTTTCTTGCTTTGTTGTCACTGTGGCATGTATAAATGCTATCTTACCTATTTAAGCATAATGTTCCACATTACGGTTATATGCATTTTTGTTTTAAACTAATTGTTTTCTTTCTTTGTTGTGTTTGATTCTTTAGAGCTTGGGCTAATCTCTCTGTATCATGTCAATGAACTGGGATTTTACCCATTGAGGGGTTTATTTTTTATTTTTCTATAATCAACAATACCCAGGCACGTCTTAAAGCAAATCCCGTCATAGAATGTATGATAATGTCCAGAATTTATTGATATTGGTGTAATATGAAGAAAACACTTTATAGAGTTTTGATAGTCTTCTGTTCCCTGTCTTCTACATACAGTATGTACTCCTGAAATAATAATGTTAATAATATTAATAAGAAGAAATGCTGATTTAGGTTTGTGAAATGAAATTAATTTAAATAAAATACAAAATTTTATACGCAGTATATCGTCAATTAAATATTTATATATATATTAAAAAGAACAGCTATACATTTGGTCAATAGAATAGCTGTCAACAGGATGGACTGTCCCATTTATTGTCTTGATGGTTGCAGACAGACAATTCATTTTCCCATTTCTACCACTCTTTTGCTTATCTCTTCCTGTCAAAGAACACTATTTTCTGAGCAAGTGGGGAGAACTACAATCAGTGACCTCTCATATATTTTCCGGGCTCTTGGTGTCTTTTCCTAGCACTACTCTTGAACAGTACAGAGCTTAATGTCCGTTGATAACATCCAGTGATGTAGGACCGATGGCAACTGCTGGACTGATTCTCCTGAATTGGGAAAACATGTTACTCAATTTGATTGAAGTGACAGTTAGCAATGAAAGAATACATTGGTTTTGGAGAATGACAATTAACCTGCAGGGTTAAAAGGAGGGGTAAAATATGACCTTTTCTCAGTTAAATTTACTTTTGTGTCTCTAACATTTGGATGGAAAAGAAAACAGAAAATGTGATTTGCAAGAATTTGTTGCAAAGAAACACATTTTCATTTGATAAATGCTTATCTAATGAAATATGGGGGTTGGATGTGTCTAAGTACAATCTATAGGAACCATGTACAGTACTTTTGATTTATGTGCACCTAAGGGGTCTGCTGTCTGACATAGTATCATCTTATCTCAGCTGGTGAAGAACATAAGGGTGAAGGATAGTGTGATCATTTAGAACTTTTTTGTACAGAACAGAAGGAGGAGGGATGAATCTTGATTTGATCAAGATAGCCTGCACACATGAGATGCATTGTCCTTCTAAAGACTTTACATGACACATCAATAAAGATGGAAGAACACAGTAAACAACACTCTAGGAAACTAAATATTCAGGTGAGATTTAACAAATATTAAGAACAAAATAAATGTTGCAGACAAGAGGAGGACATTTCACCCATCTTGGTCATTTGGCAGTTTAGTAGGTAAGTAAATCTTAATCTCTTGCAGCTCAATTTTCTTGAAATCTCAATTTCCTGCAGCAATTTCTTGATGGAGTACAGAGTTTGAGTCTTAACAGTTGGTTGGGACCCCTGTTTCACACACCTAAAAACTCATTGTGTTAAAAGCGTTTCATTTTCTCATACTAAATGAATTCTGTTCTACTTTCCAAATATGACCCTATGTCCTTGTTTAACTACTGAGCATGAATAAGTCTTGACTCTCTAAGCCCTTTGAATTTTATATACTCGTATCATATCTCCTCTAAATCCCCCGTGTTCATATTGAAAATATTAAGTTTATTTAACCTGTTTGTGTTGACATAATTCCAAGACCAAGAATAATTGTTTTTGTCCTTTTTTCTGGGCTATAACATCCTTGTTGTTTTAAGTCTATAAAAAATTAACACAGATTTCAAAATGAGGTCTTGGTAGTGCAAAGCAAGAGAGCAACTTAGGTACAATCCCTTGTTTTATATTCCACACTTATTGTAGAACCCAACCATTCTGTTTGCTTAATATTTCCTCTCAATTTCTTGATGAGGACACAGAAGAAGTAGCTCTCTGCAGCTCAGAATCACCCATATATATTGCATGGTAAGTATAGTGGACACTTCCTGAATAGATCAATTTGCATTTATCAGCCCTAAATGCTGTTAATTGCAGCCCTAAGTGTCTGCCCAGTTCCTATTTTTTAAAATCATTTGTTGACTATATCAGAATATAAATAATTGGTATAGATCATGAAGAATGATGTGTCTAAAATGGATCACAGGTGTACATATGTTAACATCTGCCCAGTTAGACTTTATCAATTACAACAATTTCCCTATGGGATTAATAAAGTATTATCTATCTATCTTTATGCCCTTTAAGATTAAATAGTATACAGTATATTGCTCATTAACCTGCTCATAGGCTTACATTACCTTGGGCTCCTCCAGCTTTTATTAACATAATATAGGTTATAAAATGAAGAACCCATCTAGCCCATCTGGTACTGTAGTTAGTAGCCAATTGAATTGTGAATCTCATCTAGTTGTTTGTTGAAAGAAGATGGGGTATTGGCTTCAACAACAAAGCTGGGTAACTTGTTCCACAATCCTTTATATAAAAGAAGAGCTTCCTGTTATCAGTTTTAAATACACTCCCACATAGTTTCCACTTGTATCCTTTGGTTCATTTTAACTGTTAGTTCTGAAATTCACTGAATTCATTGTGTTGATACCTTTGAGGATTTAGATTTCTTGAATTCTTAGATCCGGTCCTCTTGTATTCTTCTCTGTTCAAGACTTAAAGAAAATTGTCAAGAAAATTGTCTGCTTATTTCGTCTGCAAGCAGCAATAAGCTAAACTAATAATAAATGTAGCACTGCAATCGTCTGGACACTATAGAACTTAAACTCAATATGTTCCAGATATTACACCACATCGAAATTCTGCTGTACCATGGGCATTTTGAAAAGTTAAGCTTCTTCGGTTAGCGGGTCCATTTTGTGTAGAACATCAAAAACATATATGTGTTTAAACTGAATTGTGAGTTTTGTAGTTGGGCAACGATATAATGTGGAGAGACACCCTCCTTTTCATTGAATGGTATTTTCCCAGTGGAAACAGTATGAAAGTAAACAGTATGTAAAGCAGCTAAAAGCTCCTTCGCAATGGCAGCAATCCCTGTTTTCCAAGCATGACAACTGAAACATCTTCCAAAGTGGATCATGACAAGGAACAAAAAAAACCTTTACAGACAGTAAAACTGCTAAGGGCACAATGACTGTGATGGCTAAATCTTCATTCAAGGATTACAGAAACAGTCCCAAAGTCAGAGATCAGAGCTATTTCAGAGATACACTTAGATGCATTTGCTATTTGCTATTAACAAATCTAAAGGAGCAGTTGGAGCAGGATATACAGTAGACACAGTACTTGCCAGTGGTTCTCTTTTCAATGTGGTGAATCAAGTAATCAAGTGATCTTGCTCAGTAAACAGTTTGAATGGTACAGGAGTCACAGTGGAATTTTGCTGCCACTGAAATTAACGGAAAATGTATGATATCTACAATGTGATAAGGTATTATTTCATTTAAAGTAATATGGTAATTAAGCGGGTGTCTGTAACAGCTGCCATGACCAGGTAGAATGTAGATGTCATTGCAAATTGTAAAGATGACCCAGACTTCCTTCATTTCTTGAACTATGTATTATCCTCTAACAGGCATTTTGTGCAAAACTAATGGGTTTTGATTATTTAATGGCATCTGTCATAAGATTTGGTCATTCAATTGCACAAACCAAACAGTGCTGACAGTCCATCTTACTTCTGGAAGAGATGTCATTTGTGTATGGTAAACCTTTCTTTGATAGCTCAGCATAGGAAAAAAACCTGCATCAATATTTTTCAGTTTTGGCAGAACAACAAGCTTTCATTGAATCATGAAATGAGGATACAGCTTAGGTTACATAGTTGCTTCATTTGGCCTTTCTAACTATTGTCAAACTCAGATAATTCTGCCTCATTGTGAATTGAAATTTCATCAATTCAAAGTTCTGAACATATCTGAGTGACGAGCACCTGGATAACTCCAACCTAATTAACCTGCATCAGAAAAGTACTCTACTAGATGGCCTAAAGTGTCAAGCCTCTCATTAAAACAAGGTACAGCATGCATGCATTGTTATTAAATGATATCAAATAATCCATATTGGAAGAGCTAAATGGTCTATGTTACCATATGGAAATATATAGATTATAAGTATTTGGGATATTTTTTATTACACTGAAGTAGTTCTCAAAAAAGAAAATGATGCTGACGCTTATTGTAGAAATGTACTGTAGGAGTCTGTAATCTTTAATTCTTCTTTGGTTGCTCTTCTCTGAACTGATTTCAGAGTAGCAGTATCATTTTTCTTTGGTGTGGTGACCAAATTTGTACAGAGATTTGTACAAATTTGTACAAATTGGATCTCACTAGTGATTGGTACAATTTTAACATGACATCCCTTAATTGATAGTGTTTCTTTCGTATCATTTGCAGACTTGATTATCTTACTAACTATAACAGAAACAACAGTGGAACATTAATATGAATTGAACCGTGAACAGATCCCTGTGGTACTCCACTAATTACTTTATACCAATTTTAGCATTTATCCCTTTTCTGTACTCTTTTTAACTAATACCCCCTTCTCAGTCCAAACAACTTATCTTTGCAAACTGTGTTATGAAGAACAACAACTGTTCTCTCGTAAAGTTAATTTTGTAGGATGTCATGAGGCATTGGAGCTTTATTAATTTTGAATGCTTTAAGTACCTGAAACACTTCTGTCTTTTCTATGTTAATACTATTTAATAAATAACCTTTACCATTGCCTGGCATGTTGTTGACTTCTTCCCTAGGGAACATCTGAAGCCTAAAACCTTAAATAGTTATCAGCCTTTCATTGTCTAGAAGTGTCACATACAGTACATTGTTGTCCAATACACGTTACATCAACCTTTATGCTTATTATACTGTTGTAGTGCTGAAAGAATCCTCTACCAATTGACCTTTGCAAAAACATGTTTCTTTCTTTAGTTTTTCAATTGTTAAATTGCAATGTTCCATCCCTCTCTCGGCAGTTTGGAACACCAGTGAGAATGAAAGGCACTGCAGATGCCCCAGAGAACACTGTTCCATCTATTCCTGAGCTATTCCTGGCCTGGTTGTGCACTGCTGTCTCTGGCTCGTCTTTATTGCTGATGTAACTCATAACGGCATTCTCAAAAGAATGTTTTTGTTCTAATATGATGTACTGTATACTTGCAATTACCCACAGATAAAATGGATTTTATAGTGTACTTGTCCTTCATGTCAAGCTCATTATCACAAGTACAAATTGCTTGACTATGAAGCAAATCAAGCAGTTCTGACTTTGTTCTCCCAGTACTTTGGGAGGGTCCTGTAATTTGCGTTGGCGAACCTGCAGGAGGTGCTCTTCCTGCGGCTATGGACATTGTAGTGCACTGCAGGACACTCAGCCGTACGGTTGGGATGTTAAACCATGGACTTCACTGCTTGGTTCTTAAAGATATCAATGGCGGTGTTTAAAAGAGCAGGGGTGTTATCCCCGGTGTCCTGGCTTGTACAATCTGGGTTACCACCTACCTAAATTTCCCCTTAAATTCTATTAATGTAAAGCAAATTCTCACTTCATCTGAGGTGCTGTTCACTGGAGCTCTTGGTGTGTAATGGCTGCCGGATGTCATCTAGATGGGTTGTATACTCTACTGGTGGATGGAGTGGGTATCCTCTTATGTGTAAAGTGCTACATACTGAACATTTAATACTTATGTCCAAACATGTACATTTCCAAAGATGTGCAGACAAACTGGATACCATGTGGCAAGCATGGACCCACTCTGCTCCAACCTATACCTATACCCATATACCCTCTCCCCACTCTCTTTTCTCTCACTGTACTCTATTTTAACAGTGAGCACAAGCAAATCACACTGCCATTCCGAGAGTCAATGGCACACTGAAGAGTGCAGCTGAAAGCTGAGAGACCAATGGTGAAGTCTAAGTATCTGAGTCTTGAACAGGGGCTGAAAGGTGATCTGAAAATGACCAGATCAGATTGTAATGGGTATCTAATTAACCCACTCAGGAACAAGGGGTGAGATGCAACAGGCTCTGGACGTGGAAGAACGGCGAGGAGGTAGTGAAGGCACGGTGGAAAAGGAGACAGTGCGAGGGGGGTGTATGAAGAGATAAGGGACTGAGACAGGTAGAAGCAGAGTGCAAGGTGAGGTAGTAGTAAGAGGTAAGGCAGCAGGAGGCCTGGTTTTGAACTGGCAGTGCGCTGCAATAGGGAGGTAAGGGAGAGACTGAAGTAAGAGAGGAGCATGAGAAAAGTGAATAAGGGAAAAAATGTGAAGGCGTAATAAAAAAATTCCATAGTATTCTGTAAGGGAACAAAAGTGTCTGTGTCTGTTTACAGTGAATCAAGAAGACTAATAAGACACAGTCAGTGCACACAAAATACGCCATTGTACTGACACCTGAGATCAAATTGTTGAGAATACATGCTAAAGGCAAATAAACCTTTAAAAAGTTACCTTTTTTAGATTTGTCAGGAATTGTTGTGTAGATACTGTATATGTTAAGGTGAATTTACTCTACAGTATGTATAGACCTTTATGTGTCTATACATCTAATAGAAATATTTCATTTAATTTAATATTTGCTAAGTGATTTAAAGGAATATTTTGCATATCAGTGATGGTCAGATGTGTATATGAAATGTACAGATCTTGCAATAGCAATTCATTCATTTATGCTATTCTCTGTATTTAAAATTATAATAAGTTTTTAAAGGTTAACTTAACAAGTTTGTGATAACATTACAAAAAACTTGGTCCCTCCTCAAAGAACTTCTGAAGTCAAAGGTAATCTAACTGCACGTTATTCTGTTAAACCTTTTATTAGTTTCTATTATGTACTGTACAGCTTTATACTGTATACTGTATAGGACTGGTAATATCCCAAACATGGTTAGTCAGTTTAAATTAACGCTAAATGGGGTTTCAATTTATTTTGGGGATTTTAAGAGAATTCTTCTTGGCCAAATTCCTTCTCTAAATGCAGTTTAATTCTTTCTTTGCTGTATCCGAGACTATATTAATGTGTTACTTATATTAAACTACCACTGATGCAACTACTCACTCTCAGTTCAGCCTCTGCTCAGTTTCCTTTAGACAGGCTTTCATGGATTAGTGTTAAATAGGAGTTGCCTTACACAGTTACATTTGCTTAGGCTCCTTGTTTTTTTCCCAGATCTTATTGAAAGTGATTTTTTAATGCACACTGTAGCTTTCCATCCTATCTTGCTGATGCAGATTTTCATAATCTTGGGGAAAATAAATAAATAAATCCTAGCTGCGGACTGGTTTACATGTTCCTTTTTTTGATAAAAGGAATTCTGGGGCTTTGACAAATCCTGGTGTCTGGCTGGTTTTCCTGCGCTTTTTGGGAATGGTTGAGTCGTGTTTCTTGTAAAAAGGATGTGCCCGAAGTGCAGTGTTTCCTGCCTGATAAGACAAACCTCTCCATCAGGATGTTTGGGTCTCGTTGTCCCATATTAAAAGCCAGAGCTAAGGAAAGGAACTTGCTGTTCATTTAGCGAAAGGAAAAATAGCTTCACTGATTAACATCTTTTACCCTGATTTTTAGGGGGCCCTTTTCACTGGCTTGGGATTTACAACACTGAACGTTTTTACTTTTCTCCATAGTAATATGCTGTTACAAATGTAGAAGTAATCATATAATCAGAAGATAAATATTTTTTGGTTGTCATTCGTAGCTATAGTAGATCCCTGTATAGATGATCCTAAAAATACTGTTCTCTACCGATGTGTATTGTGTGTGATCCTCTAGTGTTTAAAATAATAAGCATGTCTAACATGTCTTATATACTATACTGTATATAAAAACCATTCAGCTGAAGGTTCTCTAAGACCCATCCTCTGAAGGTGAAGGTATTTGGATCAGATGTAGAGCAGATAAAAAAACCCCTACAAGATAATTGTTTATTGAACAGGCAAATTTGTATTTTGTGTTAATTTATTGTAGCTTTAGGTTAATTGAACAGAAATCATTTTTTCTTCTTGTCCTTGGGTGGGTGCACAGTAGAGACCTTGGCAGAGCTGGCTGTCGGTGTATTAGCAGAGGGGAGGCTGAAATTGAGGGGGGGACGGCAGACAGGCCGAGCCAGGGTTTTCTGCTGCAGCTTCAGTTCCAGAATCTCAGCAGTCATGGCCACCTCTTTCAAGAGACTTTCAAGGACCAGATCCACCTGGGCTCTCACGACATCTTGTACTATTCTTTCAATAACCTGTGAAGGGCAACACAGTACAGTAAGACGAGCAGGACTGACAAAGATACCAAACGCATGATCAGCACTGCAATATTTCATTTTTTAAGTAACTGTAATTCTAAATATTTAGAATTTTTTCACTGTAATTCTAAATAAAAAGCAAAATCAAAATGTTCAAGTTGTAAAAAAGTTGCTCAATATCTTACACAATTTTTAATTTACACACATCACCATGTACTACTCCAGTGAACTTATATTCCACTTTGTAATATATGCTGCACATTTGAGATACTTTCTCATGATTTATCCAACTCAAAGAATTTCTGATACTTCATCTCACTGAATGTTGTGACAGAATATATGAACACTCCCATTTGTTTTGTAGAACATTCTAGCAGATTAAGGCAGTTTGACTACATGGATAGCAAACAGTTCACACTATACTTTATAGTATATAGTTTCATAAGAAATGAACCTGCAGTGTAGCTGTTCATCACATCATATATAGATAACGAAGAACACAACGTTTTGAGTACATTTGCTAAGGGGAAAAAAGATGGTGAGTTGCAGTTAGTTAAATCGTCAAGTCAGAGTAAAATTTAGTCCATGATAGATATAATTTGACATTATTATATTTAATGACAATATATATAGAAATCTGTACAGTAGGTATATGTCATTCTACAGTACATATAGAAATTGTTACCAGGCAAAAGTTCAAACTGTTTATTCCTTTCAAATGATCAAGTTTAACTTTTTTAACAAATTGCAGTGCCCCTACAGTGTCCATTTCTCAGGAATACTGCAGATGTGAATTATTTGTCCAGAAATTCAATTACTCTAAATTTACTTAATCTTAGTCCAAAGAACATCAAATCAAATTAAATAAAAGGTAAAAGGACTACAAGAACACAAAAGGTAAGGCAGTTTACAAAAAAAAACAATAAGAAAGTTGTCTGGATATTTTGTTTGCAAGAAAGGATAAATCTGACTGGACTGAAAGCATGTCATTAATTTGCACTTCTGGATTAGATCCAACCCAAGTCATCTCACCATTCCAGATTGTCAGGTAGTCTATTATATTTCCTTTTCCTTCTGCAGAAACCATCACTTCCAAAGACAAATAAACATCATTGCAGTTCTAGTGGTTTGTAATTTTTGCTGTTGTACGTGTCAATATAACATACACACAGCTGTATAAAATATTAGCACTCCATTGGGACAAATGTTTTTGTGGAGATCACTTTAAATAGTATGTCCTATAAAAACATGATGGCATAGTTTAATTAAAGTGCACAAGGTTTTTCATGTTTAATAATCTGTTTAATAAAGTGTTAAATAGAATCAGACATTTCCACAGTTCTGTTCATAAATGCAAATCTTTATGGTATCACAACAAGAAGTCACAATGTCTATAATGCAGTAAACAAGAACGTAATAAAACAATAAAGCATACATTTAATCATATTTAAAAATTAAACTGATAGTTAATAATTACTGTATGATACTGATTATCAATTTAGCATTAGATGAGATAACTCCATAGTCTACCATGGTTTTATACACATTTGTATTAAGGTTCTTCTTAGCACAACATTTGCAGTGAGTTATCTAAAAAAAACTTTTTAAAACTATTTTAACTATTTAAAGAAAATCAGAAATATACGTAGGTTTAAAACCCAAATATGCCTATATCTCTGGAACCGTTAAAATTATTTTAATTTAAAAATAAAATTCTGTAGTTATTAAAATGGTCTGTACAGAATCAGATCCAAAATCATTCCTACCATGAAATTTAAATTGTCTTGCTATTGTTAAAGCCTAATTACTTTTATACGTCACTGTAACTAAGTACCATGGTAGTACTGTGAACAATGTTGTCAAATATTTGGAAGGGCTACATTGCTGCTGTTTCAAGTAGAATCCTTTAGGCTTTCTTCTTCATAGAATGAGGCTGCAGAAAAACAGGAGGGAAGGTTTTATCTTTCATCCAAGTGTGTTTATTGAAGTTGGTATACACTGCAGAAATAATCAGTTTAGGATTCATACCTGCTGGTAAAGGCTATTTGTAGAAAAGTACCCTTTTCCAAATGAACAGGATTGTAAGCAAGGCTATTTTCTCCATAACGATAGCAACACAAATTAGCAGTGCCATATAAAAGGAGACTGGAGTGTATAAGGTGCAAGCTGAAGAATGGACCAGATTCTGTGAGGGATCTCTGCCATATGGCATAAGACACCCACAGATGCAGATGGAACCGTTGGGAAACTTTGCAAACAATAAAGTGAGCCAATGGCCATGCACCTACTTCTGACAATGAATGGAACAGCAGAATCAGAACAGCCACATGTTTTTAGGAGATATAATGTGCTAAACAACTCACCGATGGCCTAGTAACAAACCCAGAGAATATTATTCTACAGGTCTAAACACAAAATAAATAAATGAATACATAAATACAAACATATATACTGTACAGTACACACATTCATAAATATTAAGCTCCTGTATGTCTTACAGTATCTGGTGAGAACTTATTCACAGACACATTCATATATTTAAAAATGTCATATGACATCTTGGCCTAATTGTTCTATTGAATAATCTCTAGCATCACTTAAATCCCTTATATCATCAGTTTTACAATGATGCAAGAGGTATATTATTCATTTTTATAGCTACAAAACAACATCACACTGAAAGTTCTATTATTAACCTTTGGATCATCTTGTAAAAGCAGCATAATTTGTTGGCTTGTTTTTGTCCTTCCTTAGACAGTCTCCCTAGAGTGACATAACTCTTCATATTTGCTTTAAGAAGGATGTTACTATTGTGTTTCCAAATCACTGTATGGTTCTTTAATTTTCTTAGTCTTGTGTATTTAGGAATATCCTTGCTGATTCTTTAACTTTAGTAGAAGGTCTCACTTAATTTAATTCCCCTGATACTTGCTGCTTATTTTGTAAGCAATATAAATATAATATACT